GTCTGCACTCAGACAGAGGTGGTGAGTTTTCCTCCGACCTTCTGAGGGCTTTCTGTCTTGCGGAGGGCATCCGCCAGACGTTCACGCTTCCGGCCTCCCCACAGCAATATGGGATTGCTGAGCGCCGCATTGGCATGGTCATGGAAGTCGCTCGAACGTCCATGATCCATGCGGCTGCTCCCCATATTCTGTGGCCGTTCGCGGTTCAGTACGCTGCGCATCAGATCAACCTTCAGCCTCGTGTCTTCTTGCCGGAGACCACACCTACTCTGCGGTGGACGGGGAAGGTTGGCGATGCGTCTGTGTTCCGTGTCTGGGGATCTCGAGCTTTTGTCGGCGATTCTTCCGCGGACAAGCTGTCCTCCCGTGCTGTTCCCTGCGTCTTCCTTGGCTTCCCCCCTGACGCGCCTGGGTGGCAGTTTTACCACCCCACCTCGCGTCGTGTTCTGTCCTCTCAGGACGTCACGTTTGACGAGTCGGTATCTTACTACCGTCTCTTTCCCTACCGCGCTGCCCCTCTCCCCCCCCTGCCGCTCTTCCTAGCACCAGGTGCTCCTCCGGTAGACCCCCTCCCCCCTCAGGGTCCTGCCCCCTCAGGTGTGTCCCAGGTAGACCCTGTCGAGCATGTTGAGGTAGCTGTCGACTCTGGTACTACTAGGGGTGCTGAGCCTGCGGGTGCGGGTGCGGGGCCTGGGGGTGCTGAGCCTGGGGTTGTTGGGTCTGGGGGTGCTGAGCCTGAGGGTGCGGAGCCTGGGGGTGCTGAGCCTGAGCGTGTGGAGCCTGGGGGTACTGAGCCTGGGGGTGCTGCGTCTGGGGGTGCTGAGCCTGAGCGTGCTGAGTCTGGAGGTCCTCCGGGTGTCTTGTCACGGTGGGAGTCCCTCTCTCCACAGCAGCTGCGAGAGTGGTACGCTCGGCGCTGTCGCCGTGTTGCTAGGACTGCTGGAGCTGGAGCTGCTGGAGGTCCTGCTGGTGCTGGAGCTGCTGGGGGCGCTCGGGCCGCTAGTCCCGGAGGTGCTCGCACTGGAGGTGCTGGAGCTACTGGAGTTGACGCTGCTGGAGGTACTGCTGGTGCTGGAGCTGCTGGAGGTGCTGGAGCCGCTGGTCCCGGAGGTGCTCGTACTGGAGGTACTGGAGCTGCTGGAGCTGGTGGTGCTACAGGAGTTGGAGCTGCTGCTGCTGGAGGTGCTGCTGGTGCTGGGGCTGTTGCTGCTGGAGGTGCTGCTGGAGCTGGAGCTGCTGGAGGTGCTGCAGCTGGTGGTGCTGCGGGAGTTGTAGCTGGGGACCCTGGAGCTGGGGGTACTGGTGCTTTGCCGCTGCTTTACCTCATCTCGTGTCCATGCTACTTGCCCCTGAGGGAGACCCGGATGCACCAGACATCCCGACCCCACGCTCTTACGCAGAGGCGATTGAGGGTCCCTACTCCTCTCAGTGGCAGACAGCGATGGACACAGAGATGGCTTCCTGGAAGTCCACAGGCACCTACGTTGACGAGGTTCCCCCGCCTGGGGTGAACATCGTCAGTGGCATGTGGATTTTCAGGGTGAAGCGGCCGCCGGGTTCTCCGCCTGTCTTCAAGGCGCGTTACGTTGCACGAGGCTTCAGTCAGCGTGAGGGAGTTGACTTCTTCCAGACCTTCTCCCCTACCCCGAAGATGACCACTCTTCGGGTGCTGCTGCACGTCGCCGCTCAGCGTGACTACGAGCTTCACTCTCTTGACTTCAGCACTGCTTTCCTACAGGGCAGCCTGCACGAGGAGATCTGGCTGCGCCGCCCACCTGGCTTCACTGGGTCGTTTCCTGCTGGTACCCAGTGGAGCCTCCGGCGGCCAGTCTACGGTCTCCGCCAGGCACCCCGTGAGTGGCACGACACACTGAGGACGACTCTTGCTGCTCTTGGGTTTGCTCCTTCTACTGCTGACCCGTCGCTGTTTCTACGCACCGACACCACTCTGCCGCCGTTCTACGTTCTCGTGTACGTAGACGACTTGGTCTTTGCTACTGCTGACACTGAGGGACTCGCCCACGTGAAGTCGGAGCTGCAGAAGAGACACACGTGCACAGACCTGGGTGAGCTGACAAGCTATCTTGGCTTGCGGATCACCCGGGACAGAGCACAGCGCACCATTACCTTGACTCAGTCACACATGGTGCAGCAGGTCCTTCAGCGCTTCGGCTTCACGTACTCCTCGCCACAGTCCACTCCTCTGCCTACCGGTCACTCGCTCTCAGCTCCACCTTCCGACGAGTCCGTAGAGCCGAGTGGCCCGTATCCAGAGCTTGTGGGCTGCCTCATGTACCTGATGACCTGCACTCGACCTGACCTTGCCTACCCTCTTAGCATTCTAGCACGCTATGTCGCTCCTGGCCGACACAGGAAGGAGCACATGGATGCCGCTAAGAGGGTGTTGCACTACCTGCGCAGTACGTCGGGCATGGGGCTCGTGCTTGGAGGACTGGCTCGAGTTGTCCTCACTGGTCACGCAGACGCTTCCTGGGCTGACGACTTGGCTACGCAGCGGTCGTCACAGGGTTACACCTTCAGCCTTGTCTCCGGCTCTGTCTCTTGGCGGTCTACCCGCTCGTCTTCTGTTCTCAGCTCCAGTTGTGAGGCTGAGATCTACGCAGGGGCCATGGCTGCACAGGAGTTACGCTGGCTCACCTACCTGCTGACCGACCTGGGAGAGCCGCCTCGTTCTCCTCCGGTGCTGTACGTCGACAACAAGGCCATGATTACCTTGTGTCAGGAGCACAGACTGGAGCACAGAACGAAGCACATCGCGCTGCGCTACTTCCTTGCTCGAGAGTTGCAGCAGCGTGGTCAGCTTCGTCTTGCTTACGTGGCCACTCGGGCCAACACTGCTGATGCGCTTCAGCCTTGTGATCATCAGCGTTTCTGTACTGTTCTAGGCCTTATGCCTACTGTGCCTCACTTGCTTACTTCTTGACTCTGCTTGTACTGTGATCTCTATACCTATACCTGCATGCTTACACTTGCTAGGTTGTGAACACTGTATTGCTTGTTCTCCTTTATATAACTCTGCATGTGAACTGGCCTTGTGGCCATTTGCTTGTGCTCAGAATGCGTGGTGACGTCGTGATCCACCCTGAGCTTGCTTTGCCTTTCTTGACCGGTCTTGTGACCTCTTGTTCTCTCCCACTTTGCCTATGGGGGTGTGTCAAACTTATATGCTGTAGTCTGTGTAGGCTGTAGTGTGGTAGTTCATATAGGGTACAACACTTTTAGGTTTCCTACTTTTACCCACCTGCTTCCTAGTTCAGTCATTCGTTCCTTCACTATTCTGACAAGACAAGCGTCAGTGCGCAGAACGGCCCAAATCTGTGCAAGGATAGGCAGCCAGCACACTATAAGCAGAATAGAGCCCCTTCCCTTGTTTTAGCTCCCGTTTCTTTGTACCAATAGCCTCTACTATGTATCTAGATGATGCTGTCCGGGTTTGAGATCATTCGCAACTGATTTGGATAGGTAGACAAGCGTCAGTGCGCAGAACGGCCCAAATCTGTGCAAGGGTAGGCAGCCAGCACACTATAAGCAGAATAGAGCCCCGTCCCTTGTTTTAACTCCCGTTTCTTTGTACCAATAGCCTCTAATATGTATCTAGGGGAGGCTGTCCGGGTTTGAGATCATTCGCAATTGATTTGGATAGGTAGACAAGCTTCGGTGCACAGAACAGACCAAACCCGTTCAAGGATAGGCAGTCAACACACTATCAGCAGGTTTGAGCCTCGTCCCTTATTTTAACTCCCGTTTCTTTGTACCACTAGCCTCTACTATGTACCTAGGTGATGCTATCCGGGTTTGAGATCATTCGCAAGTAATCTGGATAGGTAGACCAGTGTCTGTGCGCAGAACGGACCAAATCCGTTCAAGGTTAGGCAGTCAACTCACTATCAGCAGTTTAGAGCCCCGTCACTAATTTTTACTCCCGTTTATTTGTACCACTGGCCTCTAATATGTATCTAGGTGAGGCTGTCCAGGTTTGAGATCATTCGCAATTGATTTGGATAAGTATACAAGCGTCCCTACGCAGAACGGACCAAATCTGTACAAGGATAGGCATCGGCGCTACATGGTGTCGTTTTAAGCCTGCGTTTTTATTTTTAAGGCGGTGTCTTATTACTATATATAGTATCAGAAATATGCACTCCATCGATGCTACAAATTGTCGTTTTAGGCGAGTGATGGTTGCTATTGTATACGCCGATATAATTTTAATGTTATGAAATATGACGTGTTAAACACAATTCATGTGCGAGATTACGCAGATGTTTTAGCTACCCCAAACTAAAGTAGCACATTACGGAATAGAGCTACACATTATAGTCAAAGATATGCAACAACTTGTAAAATATAATATGAGAGTACAGTCAAGTTCGACTGTACATATTTTTGAAAGTCGACATTTCTATAACGCGAAAGGCATGACGCGTGGCATTCTAAGCCACCACTGTCTCACACTGTTCAGATTAGCTTCATGCCGTCCGATCAAACTCTCCCATCTCCGTTTATTTTCTGGCGGTAAAATCGCTTCCCGCTTCACGCTTCCCTGCACAGAAATCGTACAGGGAGAAGCCCTGGTTTACTGGGCAAGTGAACAGTATCATGGCGACAAACTTCAAGCACTGCAGACGAACGACAGTATACGCCCATCGACGGGGTGAACCCGAACATGGAGAACTGCCGCAAAAGAAAAATGCACAGTAAATGAGAGTTCGTGCTGGTTCGCGACGGTTTCGAAGCAGTAAACCTCCAGCAAAACCTAGTCGGGCAATGTGCCTTGTGAACGGCGCATTACGAAGCAGATTTCAACCCCAGAAATGACTCCCCCCCCCCCCCACCCTCAGACCCGCATTTTCACATTTTTGCGATGCAATGTGATGACGGCACCAGGCTATCGTCAAAATTCGACGTTCCTTTTCGTAGTTTTTCGTTCGATGCGAGCTTTTATCTAACAAACATTTTTTTTGGCGGAAGCAGCCACGATGCGCGGGAGTGGTGATGCCGCGGAAAAAGGGGAGGAGGGTTGTGAGGTAGAGACAGCGAATGGCGTTGTAACGGGCGGTGGTGGTAACAAGGGCTTCGATAGCATCGTAAAACGAGATCCACGCACTCTTCTTGAGAAGCTTGACACGCCCACGTTGGTACGAGTTATAATGCACCAGTGGTGCATTGCAGACTTGTCGTAAGGTTTCTCTACTGGCGCATTCATGAAAACAGTACACCGCCTATCTTTTTGAAGATTAAGATTGCTTTCTGCTCCCACCTCCTTCCCGACCAATCAGGTGGCGCCAGAGCTCGCGCCCGGCCCTAAGAACCGGCTAGACCCGTACCTCACGGCGCTCGATAAGCTGTCGGACGCGCTGCGGTTCTTCGAGGCGCACAGCTATCTGGGCAGCTGCCGCGTGGAGCTGCGCCAGGGAAGGGGGCTGATGGACGATGCGGTGGGGCGACTGAAAGAGGAGTTCGGAGAGGTGCTTTCCGGTGCAAGGTGGGCTAGGGTAGGTGTTCGCTTTGTTAGTGCTGTCCATTCCCTCCTCATTCCATCCTCATTCCCTCCCCCCTCCCTACCCTCTCCCTCCCCCTCGCTTTCCTCCGTTCCGCCTCCCTCCACTCTCCTTCCCCATTCCTCCCCCCTCGTTCCGCCCTCCCTCCAATCGCCTTCCCCATCCCTCCCCCCTCGTTCATTCCTCCCTCCACTCTCGTTCCGTCGCCCTCCCCCCTCGTTCCGCCCTCCCTTCACCCTCCCTTCCCACGCAATCCCTTTCCCTCCCCACTCCCTCCCCAATCCATCCGTCCCCCATCTCAACTCCACCCAATCGCAACCCCACCCCACCCCACCGCACCCCACCATCGTTCTCCCTGGCGTGCAGCCTGGTACCGGATCGGAAGGCGCTCGTCCAATCAGCAGCGTGCATGAAGCCAGGCGAGGTGGTGCCGCCCATGCCTCTGGTTCGGCCCGAGGCTGTGAAGCCACTCCGGGCCATAGCAGCGTGGATGGTGGGCAATGAGTACGAGGCAGCATGCCTGCGAGTGTACGAGTAAGTCGTGTTTGCTCCTCATTGTTCCACTGTGTGCAGCGCATCGACCCGTCAATGCACATTGTATGCGTAGCCATCTCGGGGTATTTCATGTCAAAACGCCTGTTCATCCCCGTCCTTCGTCCCCCATCAACACCTTTTCACCTCCCATCCGCTCAAAACCCCCTCCCCCTCTCCTCCCCCTCTCTCTCCCCGCACACACACTTCCCCACACCCACGTCTCCCCTCTTCCCCTTCAACCCACCCCGGCCTCTCTGCCCATTGCTGTGAGCAGGGAGCAGCGGTCAGCAGCGCTGCTGCGGTGTTTGGAGCGGCTGGGCAGTGAGGCGCGGACGCGTGACGAGGTGGTGGCGCTGCCGTGGGCCGACCTGGAGCCGCTCATGAAGCGATGGGTGGAGAACCTCAAGCTCACGGTAACCAGGGGTGGGGAATAGCTATGACCACTGAGCCGGTCGCAAGCTGGCGCTACCAGGCCAGGCGGCGCTGTAGGAGGGTTGGCTTGGCCCCAGCTTTTCTTGAGTCCGCTCTGGTCTTGCCTCCGTGCTGAGAGGCTTGCACGCTGCGCATTCACTTCTCTCCCTCTCCTGCTTCTCTCTCCCTTCCTTGCCTGCTTCTCTCCATCCCCCGCTTCTCTTTCCTCTCCTGCTTTTCTCCCTCTCCTACTTTCTCCCCCTCTCCTGTTTCTCTCCTTCTCCTGCGTAACTCCTCCTCCCACTCCACTCCTGTTCCCGTTGGTCGTTGCCTGACGGTGACGGCTGCGGCGCTGCCACCACTGAAGCAGCTACACCCCTATCAGCTCATGCCGCAAGGCTCCTTCTCCACGCCCACCTACTGTTGACACACTTACAAGCCGCGGTCCTCCTCTGTGTGCGTGCAGATGCTGGTGCTGATCGCAGCAGAGGAGGCGCTGTGCAGCGACATCATCGGGCGAGGCCCCTCCCCCTCCCCCTCCCCCTCGGCACGTGCGCGGTGTCTGACGGGCGTGGCGGTGCCGGCACTGAAGCAGCTGCACGCGTTTGGCGACATCATCGCGGACATGCCGCGCGCCCCCGAGCACGTCTTCTCCCTGCTCGAAATGGTCGAGGCGCTGCTCGACCTCCGCCCTGCTGTGAGTCATTCGCTCATGCCCCGCCCTGCACCACCTGTGGGTTGCGCGGTGCAATGCCTTCTCCGAGTCTCCTCCCTTCCGCGCTCCGCCCCACACCTTGAAAACCAACTTGATTCGCCTGGGGTGGCCACTTCACAGTGGGTTGGTCAATAAAAGGTGTGTTCAAGCATCTTTGGTTGTAATCCAGTCGTGGGTGAACTTCACTGACACACCCTACCCTGGAGCAAGCCAGTCGCATGTTCGCATCCTGTCAGCCCTTCTTGTGTATCCCTTGCATTGCACTGCCCCTTGCCTCTGGCCCCACCTCCTCATTCCCCACTCATCCTCTCCAAACCTTTTCCCGGCAGGTGGAGAAGCAGTTTCCCGGGGAGGCGGGTGGCAAGGTGCGGCAGCATCTGGTGGGCATCTGTGCGGCGCTGTGTCGCACGGTGAGGGGCACCATCGCTGACTTCCAGCACATCGTGCTCCTCGACCCCTCTCCGCCCCCCGCCCCCGCTCCCTCCCTTCCCCGCTCCTCCTCCTCCTCCTCCTCCTCGCCCCCCTTCCCCCCTCCGCCTCCTTTGGTTTCAGCCTCTGGGCAGGAGGGAGGCGAGGAGAGGAAGGGAGAGGAGGGGGAGGGGGGAGGGGGAGGGGGGAGTCACGGGGAGGAGGATCTGGACTCGAGCCACAGATCGGATTCCAGCCATCGATCTCACCACGGGGGTGCTGGGTCGCACAATCGGACGGTGAGCGGCAGCGCGTCGAGCGGGAGGGGCATTCTGGGCGGGCTGCTGCCGAAGAAGGTCAGCAAGGGGCACGAGGAGGGCAAGGGCGAGGCAAGGGGGAAGAGCAAGGCGGAGAGCAAGGGGGAGGGCAAGGAGGGTGGGGGGTCGGCGGGGCAGGAGGTGGTTGTGAGAGGCAGTCCGGACGTGCACCCGCTGACGAGCTACGTGGTGAACTTCATCCTCCTCTACTTTGACGAGTGCGTGCCCCCTCCCCCATGTGATGTGGTGTGATGTGATGTGATGTGATGTGATGTGATGTGATGTGATGTGATGTGATGATGTGATGTGATGTGATGTGATGTGATGTGATGTGATGTGATGTGATGTGATGTGATGATGTGATGTGATGTGATGTGATGTGATGTGATGTGATGTGATGTGATGTGATGTGATGTGATGTGATGTGATGTGATGTGATGATGTGATGTGATGTGATGTGATGTGATGTGATGTGATGTGATGTGATGTGATGTGATGTGATGTGATGATGTGATGTGATGTGATGTGATGTGATGTGATGTGATGTGATGTGATGTGATGTGATATTATGTGATATCATGTGATATCATGTGATGTGATGTGATGTCATGTCATGTCCTGTCATGTCATGTCATGTCATGTCATGTCATTCATGTCATGTGTAACCATTCCCTGTACTCGGAGGTGTTGAGGAAACACATTCTTCGCTCTGAGGTAATGTGTAAACACACTTTACACCCTGACCTGACGTGCATCAGCTTGAGGTGGCCACTGGCCAGCTGCGTGGTCAGCTTCATCTCTTCCCGTCCACCAGCAAGGATCATGACGTTCATGTGTTCTGCCAAAGGTGCCTCCCATGAGGCCACTCACCCCGCTGCTCTCCCCTCTTCTCCCACCGTTCCCTTTCTCTCCCCTCCGCTCCCCTCACTCCTCCCCACACGCCCCTACGATCCGGCCTGTCTGGGTGCCCCTGGCGGCACAGGACGCTGTACCTGGGCACGCTGCTGCTGGTGTACGACGAGGGGGGCGACCACCACGAGGGCGCCGTGCGAGTGGGCGCCGCCACGCGCCACCTGCTGGCGGCGCTGAAGGCGAATCTGGAGCGCAAGGGAGACGCGTTCCACGATGAGGCGATGCGCGCCGTGTTCCTCATGAACAACTGCGAGTACATCCAGCGCAAGGTGGAAGAGTGCGTCGCTCCCTTCCCGTCGATATCTGCTTGGTATCGACTGTTGTTGTTGCTGTTGGTCTTGTTAGTACTATCATCACTCTTGGTGGTAATTGTAGTACGCGTATGGCACAGGTGTGGTGTTTTTATGGGCATGTGATTGCGTACCCAGCTGGAATGATGCGGTGTGCATGGATGTGATGTGATGTGCATGGCAGGCAGCATGTGAAGATGATTCTTGGGCGGGCATGGGTGGACGAAAACGCAAAGGACCTCGAGAAGCACCGAGATGTCTACATTAGATGTATTGTGAATAAGGTGAGGTGGCTGCATGTTATGTACCGTAAATAAGTTGGGAATACAACAAATGAATGGCAACTCCTGTATCAGATTGGCAGGAAGGCTCCCATATCATCAAGTGGGCTTGCAGGCTCAAATCAAGGTTGCAGTCCTACTTCCTCTACTGTGGAGCGCACCAACAATCTGCATCCTTGTGAATCTCGTACCTTCCTTGCGGAACGAGAAGCTTTGAAGAATGACAATCTCATACAGCCATACAGTCACGCGTCGCGCGCTTCATCGGATCGTCGAGGGGACGTGCAAGCCTTGATGAAGCAAGCCTCAGGCCCTCCTCCGCTCCCTGCCGGCTGACTTCCAGTCTCCACATGCGCTTTGAGAGTTCTCACAGCACACCGGCACACGCCACCGAATGCCCATGCTCGTCCCCCCACCACCCACCCCGTCAGGTGTCGGCTGTGCTGTCGGACCACCGGGGCGACGTGGCGGCGTTCACTCGGCGAGTGCAGGCGCTGCAGGCGGTGCTGGAGGGCGTGCAGGCGCAGCAGAGCGGGTGGAGCATCGGGAATGGCGACCTGCGCGCGTTCGTGCGGGGGGAGGTGGCCTCGCAGGTGCTTCTCCGATACTCCGACTTCCTCGACCGCCACAGGTGCGCCCAAGGCCAATCCCACTCCCACTCCCATTCCCACTCCCTCCCCGTGTTGAGGTGCGCTGGAGGGGACTCCCAGTCCCCGTGTTGCGGTGCCGTTGAGGCGATGGAGGGAGCGTGTTGAGGGATGTGGTGGAGGTGGGGTAGTGAGGCATGTGGGGAGTAAGGGAGGGAGAAGCAGCAAGAAGGGAAGGCGATGAGGAATCAAGAGGGATGAGCTTGGGAGAAATCGAGGGGAAGGGGTGCACGGTGGAGGTGCAAGAGAAGAGTGTGTTCCTTGATTGATGGAGGTGCAAGAGAAGAGTGTGTTCCTTGATGGAGGTGCAAGAGAAGGGTGTGTTCCTTGATGGAGGTGGAAGAGAAGAGTGTGTTCCTTGATGGAGGTGCAAGAGAAGAGTGTGTTCCTTGATGGAGGTGCAAGAGAAGAGTGTGTTCCTTGATGGATGTGCAAGAGAATAGTGTGTTCCTTGATGGAGGTGCAAGAGAAGAGTGTGTTCCTTGATGGAGGTGCAAGAGAAGAGTGTGTTCCTTGATTGATGGAGGTGCAAGAGAAGAGTGTGTTCCTTGATGGAGGTGCAAGAGAAGGGTGTGTTCCTTGATGGAGGTGCAAGAGAAGAGTGTGTTCCTTGATGGATGTGCAAGAGAAGAGTGTGTTCCTTGATGGAGGTGCAAGAGAAGAGTGTGTTCCTTGATCGGGTGGATGAAAACGGTGGGTTGTCCAAAGTCCTGTAGACTGGCAGGCCACTCGCGACATACATGCCACACGCATGCCACATGCATGCCACACACATGCAACACACATGCCATATGTCACGCCAGGGCTCCATCTCATAGCATTTGGCTTCTTCCGTCTGTCTTGGCATGACTCGTTGGCACGGCTCGACATGACATGGCATGGCATGGGCATGGCATGGCATGGCAGGTCGATCGTGGAGAGCCGAGCGTGCAAGGTGCGAGTGCTGACACGGCAGGAGATGCACGCATGGCTGACGGAGATATTCGACATGAAGAAGCACGCATGAGGTGTGCCCTGCATGAGGGAGCATGATGAGAACAGCACGAGGGAGGTTTCTCGTGCTGTAATGCTAGCATCAGACAGGCTATGGGGTGGAATGTGTCAACGTTCATCATTCTGTCTTACCGGGACAGTGCAAGCACTAATGATGGTCGCGCGGAGCAGTGACTAGCACTGCTACGGAACTACATCTTTCCTGCCTACATTTCGTTCTCAAGCAAGTGTTTCAATGTGCTCAAGTAGGTAACACTTCCAGGCCTGGAAATTCACTTACCAAAGGAATTGACTCAGATAGGGGTAATCCGATCCCAGCATTCCACCTGCTTCCGGAAATTGTATTCGTGGAAACTATAAATAGCAAAAAGCACACAATGCTTCACTTTCAAAAGGATGCGCACCAGTATGTAGGGCCTTCTGTACGTAGGGCCTTCTCCCAATAAGGCTCACGAACTGATGTGCGGCTCAGCTCAGTCAGACTCTCTGGAGTAAGAGGCTACTCCCGCTTAGCGAGCAATGCCCTCACTTGTGCACGGCAACGGCCACTTTCATGTTGAGCCCACAGTGGCCGTACACCTTGCAGCTGAAGTACCGTGTGCTGCCCCTTGCCCCTTCCCGCACTGTGAACCTGAACAAAGGGCCAAGCCGGGCAAATCAGGCAGGACAGGCAAATCAGGCAAGACAGGCAGTGAAAGAGCTGTGACGGGCGGAACACAACACAGAAACTTGTATTCAGGCATAAGAAGCATGGCTAGGGTGTTGACAGGTATCCAGAGCTATTTCCCCTGGCCCATGGTGGCAGTTGCAAAGGCTCAACCTGCATCTTACTGACTAGTGAACAAGGGAAGGATGTATGATACTGTAATGGGGCATGATTCAGAACAAGAGGGGGCACGAATCAGAGCAGGAGGCAGCATGATTCAGCAAGGAGGTGGGCATGAGGCAGCAAGGAAGCGTCATGAGTCAGCAAGGGAGGTGGCGTGAGTCAGCAACGGAGGTGGCGTGAGTCAGCAACGGAGGTGGCGTGAGTCAGCGACGGAGGTGGCGTGAGTCAGCAACGGAGGTGGCGTGAGTCAGCAAGGGAGGTGGCGTGAGTCAGCAAGGGAGGTGGCGTGAGTCAGCAAGGGAGGTGGCGTGAGTCAGCAAGAGGAGACGTGAGTCAGCAAGAGGAGGAGTCGTGAGTCAACAATGGGGGGGAGGAAAGTCGGCAAGGGAGAAAACATGAGTCAGCAAGGGAGGATACATGAGTCAGCAAGGGAGAAAACAAGTGTGAGCCAAGGAAACACAAGCGAGTCGGCAACGGAAGCGGACACAAGCGTTGTGCTCACTTGTACGTCTAGTTAAAGCCCAAGTGTGACTTCTCCTGGGCACCGTTGAAGTCGCAGCTCTTGTAGGCAGCAGCACTGCTCATGCGCCACACGTCGTGGTAGCTCGTGGACTTGAACACTGCCATGCCATGCACGCCACGCAGCGCGCATATGGGATGCAGGGGAGCACAGGTGATACATGTTGCACATAGACACGGGAACCGACATGAGATTAAGAGAGTGCATAAAGCGGCCATTTAAGGCAAGGTGGCGAACTTTGGGTAAAACGAAGGGGCGAGCATAGAGCAAGAGCACGGGGCATGCAAGCAGCAGCGAAGGCGCAGGAACCGATGAAGGGAATTTCAGCGAGGGGAGGCGCCAGGAGTGTAGTGGCGCACATGTGAGGGGCACGCACCGAGCACGTCGCCTACACGGGCAGCGGGATTGGGCTTCCATCCGCTCACACCATACGCCCACCCCTTGTTGCCGCCCACCACGAACTCACGTGCCTGTGCTCGTGGGGCAACATGGATGCACATGGGACGGCCATACATCATGGACGGCCATACGTTGATCTTGCCAGGCCCTTGTGCAGATGTGCTCGCATGTGCACGAGGTTATCACGGAACGGAACGCACGTCAGAGGGACTGGTAGGGACGAGAAAAAACGCGACGAAAACAGAGTGAGGCGCCGAGCAGCATGCGCATGAGCAGGACGGACGCGGGGAAATGGGAGAGGGGAGGTGAGAGGCGAGAGGCGAGAGGCGAGTGGCGTACCTCTGCGTGAGTTGCGGCTGAGGAGCAGATGATTGGACGGCAGGGGCGATGATCGGACGGCAGGGGCGATGATCGGACGGCAGGCGCGATGATCGGACGGCAGGGGCGATGATCGGACGGCAGGGACGATGATCGGACGGCAGGGGCGATGATCGGACGGCAGGGGCGATGATCGAACGCAGTGCACGGCACGTCAGGTGGGAGGCCACGATGCGATCGGCGGATAAAGATGCGAGAGAAGCGCAGGGCGCGAGGGACGACATGGTGGCGGTGGGGAGGGAGGGGGTGATGACAGCGCAGTTGCGGATTGACGCCGAAATAAGAGAAACGACACGAGTGTGACGGAACAAAGCGAATTGGGAAATAAGAGAAACGACACGAGTGTGACGGAACAAAGCGAATTGGAGCAGCGAAGATAAGGAAGAAGCGAATTTGGAACGTGGGGCGTACCGAGCAGGACGAGCAGGCCAGCGACGAGCGCAATGGCGGAGAGCGAGCGAGCCATGGCGACGACGGACGGCGCGCACCGAGATGTTGAGGCTTAGTCGCCCGACGCTGCTGAGAAAGCTCCTCAACTCCACCGTGGCTTCGAGGCGTGACGCCGCACGAATGATGGTGGGCTTCTAGGCGCGCTTCGAGGCTTCGAAGCTCGTCGTTTAAAGTCTTTCCAGTGTACGAGACAGAGACGCGCCGTGTAGGGGAGGACTGGCAGATTGCTGGCGAGGCTCAGATTGGTACTAGGCGGCGGAAGCAAGGCAGGTGAGGTGTGAAGTGAAACGGCAGCGGCGAGAACATATGGACGAGAGAGGAGACGAGCGGTTTTAAATACTTGGTCATCGTCATGGGGAGCTGGTGGTGATGGCGCGATGAAGCCGCGTGTCGCGCGCGCTGGGAGGGGAGGTACTAGCGCAGTGTAGCGTGACGGCCGCACATTGCCGAGGTGGGCGGTCCGCAATTATTTGCCGATGGCGAGGCGACAGAGTGTAGTGGAGTGCACGGCAAGTTCAGCTCAGGCGACTCAATCCCACAAACAGAAAAAGGCCCTGCCGATTTTTCGTGACTGTCACCTGGTCAGCCCGAAAAATCGTGACAAACCGGACGATTCTCTCAGAGCATCGACTGTACGCGTTCTAATTGTACCAGAAACGTTATCGAGTCCCATGTTTCTTAAGAATAGCATATTTTCCTTGCAAATAAAAATCTCAACACACTCCTCTACAGCTAATGGAGATGCCATTCACACCCCATTTCGATCCCCCAGGTGGCTGTTTTATCCTGGAATTCTGCAAAAAAACGCCATAGTGGTACCTTCTAAGCGCGTCAGAAAACGCTAATCATGGTTCAGAATGTTACAATCCTAAGTGGGACTTAGCGAAGGATCGTTCAGGGTTGATCGCAGAGTGGCGTTGCAGCGGAAGTTTGAATCTCAGGTCAGAGTGAATGTAAATGACTGAGTTGATAAAAGCATGCATACATTGGGTTTATATAAGAATACAAGGGAATACGAAAAGACATAGGCTAGCCATGTACTCTAAGGGGTACATTCCCTTATTGCAGCGAAATTCAAACCGTGCGGCGCGGGAACCCGTTTCAAACCTGTTCCCGCTCTTTTCACTTCAAATGTTTCTGCCTGCATCGGTCTTGGTCAGACGGTTGCTGCGTCGCTTCGACTCTTCTGACTCCTCGACTTCGTACTCGGTAGAGTCGGCTCCTGCAGCATACAGGGATGCCTACTCATGTAATTCATATCGTAACACTCCCCTTCATTCCTGGGCGCAGGAGGAGCTGACTCGCTTGACTACTCCGGTAAGGTTAGAGCAGTGCTTGTACTGCTGACGTGGCAGGCGCTTGGTGAGGAAGTCTGCTGCCATCTCAGTAGTCGGGCAGTAGGCGAGGTCAACTTTTCCTTGGTCAATTTCGTCCTTGACGAAAAAATACCGAAGTGCGATGTGCTTCGTGCGATTCACGAAACCTGGCTTGTTCGCGATCCTGATGGCGCTCTGGTTGTCGCAGTGAAGGCAAAAGGTAGGCGAGGTTGGGATTTTCGCCTCCTGTAGCAGCTCCTGCAGGTACAGGCCTTCGCGAACTGCTGCTGTCGCGGCGATGTATTCTGCTTCAGCCGATGACGGGACAACCAGCTCCTGCTTCTGCGAGTTCCAGGAGATTGGCCCAGTTGGTTCCAAGCGAAAAACGAAGCCGGTTCGGGACCGTCGATTTACAGGGTCAGCTGCATGATCTGCGTCCACGTAGCCGTTGAGGTTGAAGGAGGTCGTCGTCAGCGTGGAGTAGGAGAGCCCAATGTCAGGTGTAGAGATGAAGTACTGCAGGGCGCGCTCCAGGTCCAGCTGGTTCTCAGCTACTGGCTTGCGGGAATACTGCGCCAGTTGACTGGCGATGTACGAAAGGTCGGGTCGGCAGGTGACAGAGGCAAATAGCAGGCACCCCAACTTCTGCTGGTACATTTGGAGCCCTGCGGGTGACAGAGGTTTGCTGTCCGGTTTGTAGTTGGCGCTGGGGTTGCGATAGGGAGTTGAGAGAGGTGCGGGTGAGATGTTGAAGCGTTCCCCCAGCTGCTCTGCGTACTTGGAGGCTGACAGGTGAATTGCTTCTGGCGCGTAGGTGATGTTCAGCCCCAAAACCTGCTTCACGTTGTGGTTGATGGTGATGTCCACGCGCTGCGCCAGGTTCTCCTCAAACTGGTTAAGGAGTTTGTTGCAGGTGCCCGTGTACAGCAGGTCGTCGACGTAGACTGTCAGGAGGATGTAATCGCCGCTGAAGTGAAGGCGATACATTCCCGGGTCGTGCGGCAGTTGCTTGAAGCCGATCTCCAGGAGGATTTTGTGCAGATGCTGCTGCCAAAGACGAGGCGCCTGTTTGATCCCATAGAGGGACTTCTTCAGTTGACAGACCCTAGGATCCCCTTCTCCGTAGGTGTGAGGCTGCTCCACGAAGATGGTAGCGTCCACCAACGCGTATAAGAACGCGTTCTTCACGTCGATCTGTCGCAGTGGCAGGTGCTTAGCGGCGGCAATGGCGAGTAGAATCCTGACGGAGGTGTGACGACTGACGGGAGCGAAGGTCTGGTCGAAGTCGATGCCGTGGCGCTGATCGTACCCACGTACAACCCAGCGTGCCTTGAATCGCTCGATGGTGCCGTCAGCGTTAGTCTTCAGGCGGAAAACCCATTTTCCGCTGAGTACCCTCCTCCCCTTCACTGCTGCACGATCGACTAGGACCCACGCGTCTCGAGATGCCAGCGCTTTCAGCCCCGCATCCATCGCTGCACGCCACTCCTTGGCGTGCGGGCCGGTCAGGGCCTGGCGAGGATTCTTTGGCTCCACGGCCCGTGCGAGGGTAGTGACGGACGTGTGCAGGCTGAGAAGTTGTAGGCCTGATACATTGGTGGTGTCAGTGTTGGTGGTGACTTCCACCACGTCGTCGTCTCCGCTTTCGTAGCCGGGTGCTGTGGCGCTTGGCTCTGCTTGGCGCCGTGACGGTCCTGGCGCAGGGTCATCATCGCTGTCATCGTCGTCGTCGTCGCACGGGCGAGGCGGGATCTTAGGGTGTTCGTCGGTGTCGTCGCGGTCTAGTGCTGCTGCTGATGCTTCGTCTTCTGGGGTCGCAAAGCTGCGACCGCTGTTGGCGTAGCCGCGTGCCTCGTTGCGTCGCTCGTCCTGGATCCACTGCTTCAAGGTGAGCCGTTCGTAGAAGAGAATATCACGCGCGGGAACCACTTCCTTGCTGTCGATGTCAAGAATGAGCCACCCTTTGTGCTCGTGACTGAGCCCCAGATGAATTCCCCAGCGCGCGCGATGAACGAACTTGCCGATTGTGGCCGAGGTCGGCCGGTACTGCACCATGCACCCCCAGACCCTGAGCATGGAGGGGTCTCCCCTTGAGCCGGTCCATTTCATGTGAGGGGACAGTGTGAGAATAATACGAGGAGTGTTATGACTAGAAATGAGATGGGTACAAATAGGGAAACCTAGAAATGTTGTACCCCCTATTGTCTAACCCACTACAGCCTAAACAGGCTATAAAATAAGTTTGACACACCCCCATAGGCAAAGTGGGGGAGAACAAGAGGTCACAAGACTAGTCAAGAAAAGCAAAGCAAGCTCAGGGTGGATCTCAAGGATACCACACAAATTCCGAGCACAAGCAAGCGGTCACAAGACCAGTTCACATGCAGTTTGATAATATAACAAGAGGTACAGTGATCACAACCTAGCAAGTGTAAGCATGCAGGTATATGTATAGAGATCACAGTACAAGCAGAGTCAAGAAGTAAGCAAGTGAGGCACAGTAGGCACAAGGCCTAGAACAGTACAGAAACGCTGATGATCACAAGGCTGAAGCGCCTTGGTGAACACATCAGCAGTGTTGGCCCGAGTGGCCACGTAAGCAAGACGAAGCTGACCACGCTGCTGCAACTCTCGAGCAAGGAAGTAGCGCAGAGCGATGTGCTTCGTTCTGTGCTCTAGTCTGTGCTCCTGACACAAGGCAATCATGGCCTTGTTGTCGACGTACAGCACTGGAGGAGAACGAGGCGGCTCTCCAAGGTCAGTCAACAGGTAGGTGAGCCAGCGTAACTCCTGTGCAGCCATGGCCCCTGCGTAGATCTCAGCTTCACAACTGGAGCTGAGAACAGAAGACGAGCGGGTAGACCGCCAAGAAACAGAGCCGGAGCCAAGGCTGAAGGTGTAACCCTGCGACGACCGCTGCGTAGCCAAGTCGTCAGCCCAAGAAGCGTCAGCGTGACCAGTGAGGACAACTGGACCTCGCCCTCCAAGCACGAGCCCCATGCCCGACGTACTGCACAAGTAGCGCAACACCCTCTTAGCAGCATCCATGTGCTCCTTCCTGTGTCGGCCAGGAGCGACATAGCGTGCTAGGATGCTAAGAGGGTAGGCTAGGTCAGGTCGAGTGCAGGTCATCAGGTACATGAGGCAGCCCACAAGCTCTGGATATGGGCCACTCAGCTCTACGGACTCGTCCGAAGGTGGAGCTGAGAGCGAGTGACCGGTAGGCAGAGGAGTGGACTGTGGCGAGGAGTACGTGAAGCGGAAGCGCTGAAGGACCTGCTGCACCATGTGTGACTGAGTCAAGGTAATGGTGCGCTGTGCTCTGTCCCGGGTGATCCGCAAGCCAAGATAGCTTGTCAGCTCACCCAGGTCTGTGCACGTGTGTCTCTTCTGCAGCTCCGACTTCACGTGGGCGAGTGCCTCAGTGTCAGCAGTAGCAAAGACCAGGTCGTCTACGT